ACACACACACACACACACACACACACACACACACACACACGCCTTGCGAGCCCCCACCCCAAGGCGTTTAGAAGAGGAAGTGATGAGAAGATAAGTTTATTTTCTATTTAAACATGCATAAATACTTTATTATGGTATGGTATTTAAATGTATGCCTGCGAAACACATAATATTGCCCCTTTAATATTTAGGCAGCAGTTAAGTCTTTTTTGTAAAATCCCTCTAAAGTGAAGACAATGCTTTTTAAAATATTTGTTAATGTGAAAAAACGGTCACATATTCCTTTTCACCTGTGAGAATCAGACTGAAAACATGATCAGATCAAACATTCTCTAGCTWTTAATCTATGTCTAACATATTTACGTAGTATATTTATAGCATTTACATAGAATATATAAAAGAGTAGATTCATGAGTTATTCAGCATGAATAAGCAATGAGTATGTTGGTTCTGGAAGTAAAGCCATAATAAATGTGTTCACTTATGGCTTATTAAGTATGAATCATCCTTAAATAATAATGTTTTCAAGGTTAACTAATTGTTTATCAATGATTAAGTAAGGCCAAATAAGGTGTAGTTATTGTAAAGTATTACAAGTTTCTCTTATATTTCAATAATTGAAATGCAGTTCAACATTTCACATTTCATGCATAATTTGTTAGTAAAATAACCAAGTGGGAAAAAAAACCCTCAGAGGAAACCATCCTGGACAGAGGGAAGCAGCTGAGTGAGAGGCATGGTGCAGTTGCTGCTGTCTCCAGGGAGCACTGTTCTTTCTGGGTTGTTTCTCTCACAGACAACACACTATGCACCACAGTGCAGGACATAAAAATGAATACAGGTGCTGAAATGTAGCCCATGAGCCACCAGGTCCCCTGTACAAAAAGCAATTTAAAAGAAATYGGCTTTGGATTGCACAATATGTAGGAGTTGTGTTCTTTTTGTTTGTATTTCTTGTTTTTTTTTTTTAATTGGAAAGGCCCTTATAGAAATGTTTATAAAAGAGAGAATTTCAACTACTTCAAAGGTCTGATAAAACAAGCCAAATGTCAAACTGAAATGTCAAATAGAGCTGTCCCCTGCTGACTGCACTCAGAGGAAGGGAAAACAGAGCTGCATGGTTGAGTCTTTGTACTTTACAGGGGGTACTTGGCTTAATGATATTAAAAAATACTGTTACTGATATGTGTTTACACATGACACATTGGTTCTGCAGTTACTGCTGCTAAGTCTTTTGCAAAAGCAGTGTCTGTTGTTTGTTTGATTCTGGGTAAGATGTGGTGGTCGTTTTACCTCATTGATCCAGAAAGTAATGAAATAGGGCTGTGTGTTTTCAGGCGGGGCTGGAGAAAAGGATCGAACCGGCGTGAGCCATGAATCATTCCTGCTGATGGCCAACTCCCAGAGTGACATGGAGGACTGGGTCAGAGCCATACGAAGAGCTATTTGGACTCCCCTCGGCGGAGGTGTGATGCTTTTATCATAAATGCAGATCAACATCTACACTTACATACATCGAGATGATGTGAGGATCTGTATATGGGGTGCCGTTTCTAAAGTTACACAGTCAAAAATTACCACCAATATTTTTGTTTTATTACACCTTTCATAAGAAAAAAAAAAAGAACAGATTTATTTTTCAAAGTCAGTTTTTCACCATATAATTCATACATTTATAAATGTCATAGTTTGTAAACTAAATATTTAATTCACAAGTTGAATATTTAGCTTGTTAACTAAATATTTAATTTTAAGTTAAATATTTAGTTTATAAACTATGCCATTTATAAATGTATGAATCATATGGTGAAAAACTGAAAATGAAAAATAAATCTTTTTTTCTTATAAAAGGCTAAATAAAACAAAAGTTTTGGTGGTAATTTTTGACTGTGTAACTTTAGAAATGGCACCCCATATCTGTAATCCCACTGAAAATTGATCTGTTCTGTGTGGACGCAGGCATCTTTGGACAGCACTTAGAGGAAACGATGTCGTATGAGGCGCAGTGTGGCCCCCAGAGAACGGTCCCTGTGCTGGTCGAGCAGTGTGCCTGCTTCATACGCCAGCATGGACTCAAGGAGGAGGGTCTTTTCAGGGCGCCTGGGCAGACCAATCATGTTCGAGAACTGCAGGATGCCTTTGACCGTGGCGAGAAGCCAGTCTTTGACAGGTGAGGCGAGCAGGAGGGGGTGTTTTAAGTAGAGCAGCATGGAAAATCATTACCAGTGTGGGAGAATTCTAGCGTCTGCGTCGTCCCTTCTGCTACAGTTCCACCGACGTCCACACAGTGGCATCACTGCTGAAGCTGTACATCCGAGAGCTGCCAGAGCCAATCATCCCATTCTCCAAATACACCCAGTTCATCTCTTGTGCTCAGCTTCTTACCAAGGAAAAAGAAATGGTAATTGTTGCTTTTAAATGCTTTACTARCAAATATTATTCTCTTCTTTTGGCATTTAACATGTAATATTTTGTTAAAGGGCATCATGGAACTGGGCAAACAGGTGAAATCCCTTCCTCAGGTCAACTATAACCTCCTTAAATACATCTGCAGGTAAATAAACTGCGTCTTGCAGTTTGTTGTTTGAATCATCCGTCTTTTGTGTGATTGTGACAGGCTCCATTGTTGTTGCCTTTTTATTAACTGTTTCATAATTGATGACTGTCAGCATGTCAGACAATGACGTTCATTACACCCACACTAACATCAGAAGAAGTGACATCACTGACTTGACATGTCTGCTCTGCCTTCTGCATTAATATTTCTTAATCTGAGCCCACACATCGGCAATCATGACTCAGACCTTGTTTTTGATCAGCTACATTTTATTGAGTTTAAAAAGTTGAATTCGGAATTGTCTGCTCAGGTTTCTGGATGAGGTTCAGTCTCACTCCATTGACAATAAGATGAGTGTTCAGAACCTGGCCACTGTGTTTGGACCTAACATCCTTCGGCCAAGGGTGGAGGACCCCGTTACAATGATGGAAGGTTGGACATCAGGATAATTTTTTGAAGCTTTGTGTTTTTAAATCGACATTAGACATCTTAAGCATTTGCATGTTTTTGTCTTCGTAAACAGGAAGTTCGCAGGTCCAGCACTTGATGACGGTGTTGATCAGTGAACACCACCGACTCTACCCAAACGAGGAATCCCAAACTATGAACAAAGTTTCTAACCAACAGGACATCCAGCGATGCAAAGTGGAATGGCTTTCCCAGGAACAAAATGACCCTCCATGTTCAACAGATGCGAGCTCTACAACCCTGAAAGAAGATCCCCAATCTTCCGCTCCTCCCACGGACGAAAAGCTGATTACATCAAGCCTTGTTACGTCCAATAAGACTGATGGCAATCAAAACAAAGAAAAAGATAAAAGCAAGACCAATGAGAAAGCGGATGGAAAATCTGAGGAAGGAAATGAGGTAGCTGTTAGCCCCAGCAAACAGTCTAAAGCCCTTCCTTCGTGGAAGGGCTCCTTCAAGGGCACCGCAGCCTCCGGGGGGCCAAAGGGGAAAATAGGTGGCTCGGCAGGGGATGTGTCAGCAGCTGGCGGGAGCAACTGGCTGATGAACGGCCTGTCGTCCCTCCGAGCCCACAGACGCACCACCTCATCTGGAGAAAAGGTGAAAGACTCTACTTTATCTCTAAAGGACTCTGGCCTTTCTCTTAAAGAAACCACTCTTCCACATAAGGACTTGCAGAGAGACTCCGATGAGGAGTCCTCCCGAACATCTTTGCCACTCAGGGTCCTCCAGTCCCACAGACTGTCTGCCTATGACAATGTTGGACCCTCCAGCCTAAGCCTGCCCGCCGACCCCTCGTCCATCTGGACACCCTTTGAGATCTCGATAACGGAGACGGAGGGAAGTGATAAATTAGAGCAAGCGACAGACAAAACAAATACATCAGATCACAGTGCAAGTGGCAACGAGGAGGATGTGGCAGGAACAAATGACGATTTCACAAGAAAGTTCGCCCAACTCAAGCAGGAGCTGAAAAAACAGAAGATAAACTATGAATCCTGCATCCACAAGTAAGAACCAAATCTTTTTCTTCATATAGTTAATCAGCATAAAATGCAATAAATAACCTCTTCTTCTCTTCTTTGAGGTTGGAGGAGTCCTGCTCCAAGTACCAGTCTCAAGTAAACCGCCTCGAAGAAGAGCTGAATCAGGAGAAGAAGAAGTTTCAAATGCTGGAGATCCGACTCAGGAACTCGGAGCGGGCGCATCAGGATGCAGAAAATCGGAACCTTCTCCTCCAGAAAGAGATGGAGGAATTCTTCAAGACGCTTGGAGATCTGACTTCAGGAGCACCACAGGCCAATTAGAACAGACCCAGGCTRTACCACCGTCTGGTTCTGGAGGAGCTCAGTCTTTTGGAAGACCAACAGGGTCCGAAGCCTTTAAAAACAAATACCTCTAGTGCAGCAAAAAACGCCATCTTCTCCTCTTGTCCTGTGCCTCCCACTGAGCTGCACTGGTGCCAAACAAGAACTCCTCTGGACCAAGAACTTCTCAGCTTGTCATTCCAAAAAAATAAAAAAAACTTTTACTAAAATGCGCCATTAAGTTAAATTATTTACTTACTAAACTGCTTCCTGTACAACCAGTAAAAGCCTTATGCACCCAGTGTTGTATTTTTGTCAGTTTTAAACTTAGCTAGTTTACGGCTGTAAATGATGGTAAAATGCGAGACCTTGAAGTTCAACTTTTTTCTGTGCTAAAGCTGGAGGCTTCAACTCTGGACAGTATAATAACTGATCTGTTAGGGAGTCAACTCAGAAACTAAAAGTCATAAAACTTGCCTTTTAAACCTCACCTTAAGATTGCAAGATCATCCCAGTGGTGCTGAATTGATTTTGTATTTCTCTAAAACGTACCTGCATTTGTGCTTAGAAAAAGTCTTGCCAAGTCTTTTCTATTTTTTTTTTCTTTTTAAAAAAGAAGTAGGTAGGCAAGATCATAAAACAGGAATTCAAAGCAGCCTGTTGAGATGTATCAGGAAAATCAAGATGCATTTTGGGAGTTAGTGCTGAAGGGTTGACGCCTGGTCTGCCTAAGCCATGAAAACAAGTGGCAGACACCCACCTCTGGATCCTCTGAAAACATCCATGCAACTGGAAAATGTACAGATCGATTTTTGACTACACTAATCCATAGATTATACAGTATTTAAGAAAATGTAGATAAACAATATCTGTAAGATGTATAAATAATTGATGCCTTCTAGCTTGAAATAAAAATAAAAAAATGTTTTTTTGTATTTGTTTCAAATGATTTGTTCCACGACACTGCATCTTTAACAAGGTAGGTCTACCCTAGACTTATCTGCATTTAAAGCACTGGGCATAAATCTCTATTTTTAGACTTAAATATCCTAATAATTTTGTAATTATATCAACAATATCTTGATATTTACCATATCATTCATTTCAGTCACGCATGTGTACCATCCAAAACAAGTGGATTCACAGAACAAAGATCACTTTACCTGACCTTCAGCTTTGACCTTTGACCCAAAAATGTTTTCAGACCTCAGTTGGACCAAGAGCAATTATGTCAATTTGGACTGAAATCAATAGCTCCGTTCAAGAGATACAGTGCACACAAGACACAAGACTTCTCAGGCGGAGGCATGAAAAAGAGAAAACATTTGCCACAAAGGACAAAATAACTGAGCTAAATAAAGACATTTCAATTAAATATTATTAATATTATCAGACAACTGTGAATTATGTCTGTTAGAATATCTAACAAAAGAGAAAGCGACTAATTAAGATGTATCTGGTCTCAAACAAGAGCTCATTTTAGTCAGCAGAGTGGCCTATCTTCATTTTTGCAGCACTGACTCCTTAAAATTTAATATTTTATTTTTCATTGTCCGTTTAACTGACTTTCACCTCCAACTTTCCGTCCAAGTCAGAAAACCTGTAAAAATCCAGTCATTGTACTGCATGTTACAGTACAGACGCATAAAAAAAATTGCTCAGGGAATGATCATTAAATGCACACAATCAGACAGATTTGAAAAAAGAAATAAATAATTTTATATTATTACATCAAGGGCTGCTTTCTACAAGAAAAATAAGTAACAATTTCAAAATAAAAAGCATCAGTTTCGCATTTCTGCCTCAAGTGATATATACTATAATCTACTGTTGGAAAGAATTGGTAAACATTCATTAAAGATCCAAAAAAATGTACATGAACCTGAAAATATACATTACATAATGCTGCGATCGTAACAGTATGACTTTTTAGTTGTAGCTAAAAAAAACCTAACAAGTAAAGTACTCTCGGTTTCCTTCCTTTCATCTCATACGTCACAGTTTCACACCAAAGTATCCTCAGATTCTTCGCAGCAAAAATACAACAATTTCAAACCACAATAATTTACATCAGCAGGAGGAGAGGGATGGGGGGGGGACATAAAAACAAACTGTACAGTAAAATCACAGCTCTACAAACTAACATGAGTTTCACTTGCCTAAATTCTCTCCCATCACATATACTTGATGGGGAGGTTTTTTTWTTATTATTAATTATTATTTACTTTTAGCATGTAGATGTGTGCTTGTGTGAAGGTGTAGTTATCTGCAGCAGGCCAGAGCACTCAGAGACGTGTGGCTGTCCAAGCTGCTGTCTGTTTCAGAGCCCATAGCGGGGTCGCAGATGGGATCGGTGGGCTCCGTGGACATGGATGAAACATCGTTGGCTGAAGAAGAGGAGGAGGAGGAAGAGGAGGAGGACGGAGGCTGAGCAGGGCTGTCGATCACTGCTGCACCTGTGCTGAGAGAAAAAAGGTTGAAGCGGAGGTTTTATTAGAAAAAATAAATAGTGCCTTTGTTTTGATGAGTTCAGATTATGTCAAAAAGTCATTTTGTCTGGATTAGGCATTTTAAAACTGATCACCTACAAGAATAAGTGCTTTTGAAATACAGCTTTACGTTTACTGTTAACCTCTGAGCTTTGCAACCTGTCAGCCTTCAGAAGCATACCCAAACTAAAATTCAGTACTATTCTTGAACCATTTGGAGTAAATATCCCGATGGGGACTGTGGATATACTTCCATTAATTAATTATTWATTATTATTATTATTTTGTAATCTTATAGCCTACCCTGACCTTTTACCCTAAAACTAACCTCACAGGTGACCCTAAAACTAACCTAAACTCCTTGGTCCTAAACCTAGCCCCCACCCCCGTAATTAGCATTTGTACCCGTGGGGACCAGGCATTAGTCCCCACATACAGTGGTTTGCAAAAATATTCATACCCCTTGAACTTTTCCATATTTTGTCACATTACAACCACAAACATAAATATAT